CGACTTATCCACATTTAGTTCTGACAAAATACTGTATAAGCCATAAGAAAATACACTAAACTTACAGGAACTGTAATAACTGAATATCCATGCGTTATCCTCCGGGTGAGTATGTACTTTTGACTGATATGCGAGAACCTGAGAACTATGATGAAGCCATGCAAGATACTCACAAAGATCAGTGGATAGAAGCCATGAAAGATGAGATGAAGTCACTCCATGGGAGTGACACAATGAGTTAGTGAAATTGCCGAAAGGTAAGAGAGCTTTATCTAACAAATGGATATTCAGAATAAAGCAAGATAACCATATATACCTCTGCGCCTAGGTACAAGGAGAGGTTAGTTGTTAAGAGTTTTGGCCAGAAGAAAGGAGTTGACTTTGATGAAATTTTCTCGGCTGTTGTAAAGATGACTTCTATCTAGGCTTAGGCGCGAGTCTAGATTTAGAGGTTGAGCAGATGGATGTAAAGACTGTTTTTCTTCATGGTGATTTAGATAAAGATATTTATATGGAGCAACCTGAGGACTTCGTAGTTAAGCTGCAGATAAGCATGCGTTTTGCAGAAAATTACAAGCATGAAGCCTCTCAATAGTTGCTCTACTTGAAGATACATTTGGCCCCTTGATTGGAGGGGGAGTTTGTTGGGCACATGCCCATGTTGTCCAGCCAAAGGCCCAATGGCCTACTCCTATTCTCTTTTGATTTCCATTCCTATTCGAAATTGAATTTGGTTTTTATAGAGTTGGTTTTGGCTTTAAGAGAAAACACTACTCATTATTTATAAATACGACAACCTTGGAGAATTATTCTATGCTCATTGGTATAAGTCTTTGAAAGACTTAAGCACAGAAGAGTAGTGATAATAGGCTAAATCTAGGTAATTTGGGGATTGTTTATGCTCCCGCTTAATTGTATTCCGATGTCATAATGTGGTTAATTGATTAAAAATGGTCTCTAATTGTGAATTATATACATTGCAGGATGAGGAGCCTATGTGATGCCTTAAAGAGGTGATTGGAACTACTTTAGAGCAAAAACAACCCCTCGGAGCTAAGTACGCACGAAAACGAGAAAAAGAATCAAGGAAGCAAAGTGCTGGGCTAGCGCGCCCAGATGCGCGACCACGCTAGTCCGAATTCCGGAAATTGTTTGCCAGGGGTATAATTGGACATTTGGAGGAAACCCCACTTAACCTATATAAAGTCAAGCTCGCCCAAGGATTATTTATCAAGGTTTTCATAGTCTAGAGGGAAAAAGAGAGAGGCAAGAGGCAAGGAGGAGATTTAACCATCAATTTCTTCTTTTCTTCCCGTTGTTTTTGCTAATTGTGATGAATTTGAACCCTATTGTGATGAACATGAGTATGAGTGGCTAAACACCCATTGTTCTGGGGTTGTGATTTAGCCATGAATATTGTGGTTTGATATTAGCTTGACCTTGATTATGATTCACCAATATATGGTTGTTTCTTCAATTCTGTGTTCAATTGCTTAATTGTCTGGCCAACAGTTAGGTTCTATTTACTATCTATGCTATGCTTAGGAAAGCCATGTTTAGATTAGAGAATAATTGAAGAGAGCATGATCTTAACCCTTAGGGGGAGCGGATTTGTGGTTAGGATAGGAATATACCTAGTCACCGTGCTTAATGAAATATCGTAATCTTAATGTGTTCTTAATAGATTTATTTCATAGGAATATAGGTGTTAATCTATTGAGAATATGTTAGTAGTACTTGGGGAGAAGGCTATGAGAGCATTTATCGATTAATTAGCAACTGTGGGTGAATTATATGAGAGGGAGAGTTAATTAGAACACAATACGAATGGTGAATCGATCACAACCCTGGAATACTTATCTCTACTGAATACACAACCATCAATTCGTTACTTGACAATTTGTTATTACTTAGAATCGTAGTATGTAATCATATCATTGGACTTTGATTTTAGCTGGACTGAATAGCAATTTGGGTAATTTTGTGAGTAGTTTACACAAGTCTCTGTGGATTCGACATTTAACTTATAATTGTATTACTTGTCGACCACGTATACTTGCGTTTGCGTTTGGGAGCAACAAGTTTTTTGGCGCCTTTGCCGGGGACTTGAATATTAGCTACTTGCTAGTTTTTGCTTTAATTGCTTATTTTGTCTAGTCTAACGTACTTGATTGTTGCTCAGATCTCAGGAATTTTGATTGAATGCGTAGGGTCAGAAGCCCGGACCGACTTCAAGGCTTTGATCCTGAACCTGAGAGAACATTTCATAGGAGGTTGAGGGAAGCAAGGGACACGAATAATATTCAGTCACTTGTTCAAATTCCTGTTGACATGGCAGAGGAGCAACCCATGGCTGTTCAGGAGGTGGCAATGCCCAGCATTGCTAATGCCACCTCCAGTATAGTGAAGCCCAGGATCACTGGACACTTTGAGCTGAAACAGAGCATGATCCAGCTGCTTCATGCAAACGGGCAATTTATGGGTCTTCCACATGAGGATCCGCAGCAGCATATTCTGAACTTCTTGGAGATTAGTGATACTTATATCACTAACGGGGTCACTCTAGATTATGTGAGGCTCACACTTTTTCCATTCTCTCTGTTGGGTGAGGCTAAGCGATGGCTAAAGGCAGAACCAGCTAACTCCATTACATCATGGAATGATTTGGCAAGAAAATTTCTGGCAAGGTTCTTTCCTTCAGGCAAAACTGCAAAGATCAGAAGTGAAATAGTGGCCTTCAAACAGAAAGCAGGAGAATCTTTATACTCAGCTTGGGAAAGGTTCAAGGGGCTACTCAGAGACTGTCCTCATCACAATCAGATGAATGAAGTGTTAGCTCACACTTTCATAGAAGGACTACATTCTGAAACTAAGATCGTGGTAGATGCTGCAGCCGGGGGTCAAGTGTTGGAGAAAAGCTTTGACGAGATATATACATTGTTGAACAAATTTTCCAAGAGAAATTCGGATTGGCAAGGAGAGATGGGCAGACACACAGTGCAAAAGTCTGCAGGGGTTCTTGAGTTAGATGTCGTCTCAGCATTATCAGCACAGATTGCTACATTGGCCAATCAAGCCAACCAGATGAACTTGAGTATCAACAAGCAACAAACACAACCGGTACAATAGGTTCAAGCTTTTTGTGAAATATGTGGAGAGGGGCACACGAGCGTCATATGCCCCGCAAACCTAGAGTCTGTCTGCTTTGTGGGTAATTCAAATAGGGGCCAAACAAACCAATATGGGAACACTTACAATCCCAACTAGAGGAACCACCCAAACTTCTCTTGGGGTGGAAACCAGGGTACTCAAAATCAATACAGGCCTCAAGCACCTCAACAGCAATACAGACCACCTCAGGTTGAACAACAAGCGAGCCCTACAAGTCACCTTGAAGACATGTTCAAAAAGATGATGGTTGAACAGCAAACCCTAGCCACAACAGTGAGAAATTTGGAGCGTCAAATGGGACAGCTTGCTAGTGCTCAAAACACGAGACCAGCTGGAGCTCTCCCAAGTGACACTGAAGCTAATCCTAGGGCGGCCCTTAATGCCGTATCGTTGAGGAATGGGAGACAGATAGAGGAAGTTCTATCTAAAAAGAGGAAACAGGTAACTTTTAATGAGATTCCAGCCGTTGTAGAATCAACATCAGAGAAAGCCAAGGAGCCAGAGAAGCCAGCTGGAGAGGCGGTGGCTGAGCAAGCCCCACAATTGGTTGCAAGGCCACCACCTCCATTCCCTCAAAGACTGCAGAAATTACGAGATAATGCCACATATAAAAAGTTTCTTGATATCTTGAAGCAGGTGAAAATAAATATTCCATTGGTTGACATCTTACAAGAAGTACCCAAATATGCAAAGTACATCAAGGACATTGTGGCGAATAAAGGAGGCTGACCGAGTTCGAGACTGTGGCACTCACTGAGGAGTGCAATTCCAGAATTCAAGGCAAGTTACCTCAGAAATTGAAGGATCCAGGTAGTTTCACTATCCAAATCACGATTGGTAAACATGCTGTTGGGCGAGCTCTATGTGACATTGGAGCAAGCATCAATTTGATGCCGCTATCTATATTCAGACAGTTGGGGTTGGGTGAACCACGCCCAACAACAGTTATTTTATAGTTAGCTGACCGCTCCCTTGCTCATCCTGAGGGAGTGATTGAAGATGTGCTAGTGCAAGTGGGGTCTTTTATATTCCCAGCTGATTTCATTATCCTGGATTACGAGCCTAATCAGGAAGTCCCATTTATTTTGGGGCGTCCATTCTTAGCCACGGATCGAGCTATTATTGATGTTTGTGAAGGAAAGATGATGATGAGAGTGGGTGACCGAGTGGAGGTCTTCAATGTTTATAGAGCACTCAAGTTACCAACCCATTATGAAGAGTTATCCATGATCTCTGCGGTGGAAGGTGATGCCACATCGTTAGTACCCTATATGAGCCCTGCAGATCCTGTTGAACGAGTATTGATTGGAGACGTAAAAAATGGTGAAGATGAAAGGATGGGAGAAATTGAGCAAGCGCTGGATATGTCATGCAGTTATGTACATGGGGTTAGAAAATTTGAAGAGTTGGACAGGCCTGTCACTCTGACCCTATCCAGGCCATCTATTGAAGAAGCTCCGAAGCTAGAACTCAAGCCACTTCCAGCGCATCTGCGCTATGCTTATTTGGGGAACTCAGAGACACTGCCCGTGATTATTTCATCCAGCTTGACCAGCACTCAAGAAGAAAAATTGCTCAGAGTCCTCCGCGAGCATAAAAGGGCCATTGGGTGGACTATAGCTGACATCAAGGGTATTAGTCCATCGTTTTGCATGCATAAAATCTTTCTAGAGGACGGACACCGCCCCAGTGTAGAGCAGCAAAGGAGATTAAATCCCATTATGATGTAGCTATTAATGAGCTAAATCAGTACTTTGCATAATAATCTAATATATATATGTGTGTGTGTATATATACTGAGATCTTCTATTCTTTCAACTTGTGAATATCTCAAACTGATCCTCTGAAATTTTCAGGGCACTCTGACAGCTATCAGAGACTGGTTTAGAGACTATAAGATTCCTGACGGAAAGCCTGCTAACAAGTTTGGACTTGGAAACAAGCCAGCTAACAAGGTACCCTCTTGAACATTATTATGTTGATTTCTTCATACTGATGAAATATTGGCAAATTTGTTACTGTCTGTTAAAGATCCTTGTTTCTGACTTTCTGTCATATCTATTACTGTGTTGAGATTATATTGCATTCAAAGAGACCGATCTTAAGTTTTTAATGGTTGTTGGTGCTAAGCAAAATTTTGACCTCCACATTTGGGGATCACTTCTCAGTTATTCTATGTGAAGATAAATTCTTTTCGTCCCTCTTTCGCAGTGAATGATTATATAATATCTTGTATGTGTTTTCCTGTAAGAGTGAATCAGTTTAGCACATAATGACATGAGCGGGTGAAGAATAATGGTATTTATTATTTGCATGCATTTTATCTCCCAATGCCCCCAAAAGAACGTAAAACAAAGGAGATTAGAAAACTTTGTCCACTTAAGCAAGCCTGTGCTTCTTGGCATTTCATAGTTAGAATTGCCTGTTCTGCTTTCTTTGCATGATCCTGCTGATTATCTAATTCCTTTGCAATCACAGGATTATGCACTTAAGATTATTACGGAAACCAACGAGTCTTGGGCAAAGCTTGTTAAGAGATCTATCCCTGCTGGTGACCTTTCACTTGTGTAGATGCGGATTGATAATGCTTGAACAGCTAGTTTTTTTGCTGTAAACTGAACTGGATGTTGAAACCCTAGTAATTCTTTTACTCTCTCCTCATTTGTGAGGTGGAAATGAGTTCATAAGATTCACTCAGTATAAAAAGATACTGCTTTTTCATCTGTACGTATCTCTGCACGAATTTGACTTTTAAAGCTATATGACGAAAAAGATACAGATATAGCTTAATTGATCTTCGACCTCTAATTGCATAAATCAAGAAGTATCAATGTTTCTTGGTTACAAAATTACAAGAGATTTTTTGCAAGCTTCCTGGGTGTCGCATGATTCCATTAGCTGCAGTCGTAACAGGTTACATAGTGTGGTAGCTTAATCCACCATGAAATCAGACAATGAGTGAGATTCCATTGTGATCTGTGGAGTTGCATCTGATCTTTCCTGAAGCTGGAAGAAGCATTCATAACCTGAAGCTCACTAATGATGAGCTGTTTTCTGAAGAAAACGATTCACTTTCATAGCCAAATCTTAGCACTACTATTGGTAAAAATGACTCTGAGAGTACTATTGGAGATTGGTACTTCCATGGATTTGCATTGACTAATGGGTATCAAGCCTGGACTCTCTTTGTGTACTGAACTCCTGATCCCTGAATCTTGTTGACTGAAGCAGAGCTGAAAATGTTTTACAGTAATTCTTTTGACAAGTGAAAAATATTTCATTAGTATTACACCAAGTCAATGTGAGAAATATTTAGATATGGAATGTGTGACACAACCACATTCATCTATCGGATTAGCAAAGGTGTCCTATACAAAAGAGAATACTCTTACACCAAACGGTTGAACATAGGATATCATTGTATGTGGCCGATAAATGAGCAATTGGGACTAACTCAGAAGCTGGATTGGTACATAATGACCTGTACAGTGAGGAAGCTGTCTAGTTGATTCAGGTGTAGAATATATGCCATTATTGAGCAGCATTTATGTCCTAGCAGGTAAACTTAGGTATTAATAGTTGATCTTATTTATAATCGCTGGTACAATATTTATGAGATTAAGACTTCTTTTATTTGTGGGATTTTCACCGAGTTGTTGTTATTTTTTTGTTGATTAACACTTATTTTATGTTTATATTCTCTGAGTAATGCAAAAGGCTATGCTTTTTTGAGTTAACTTATACGTGCAACTTATTGGGGGCATGCAATCAAGATGATCGAACTGTGGGAGCGACTGCTAATGCTTGCGCTAAAGTAAGCTACCTAGATCACAGGGGGTGCGGTCCTTCCATGAACCTCAACGCAGGATGCTTTGTGCATCGGACTCCTTTTTATGCGATCAAGATGATCACATCTTTAGGTTATTGAGGTGAGTGATCTTATAGTTGGCATTATAGATAAGAAACTCAGTCAGTTTGGGTTTTGGAGAACTCAAGAAATGTACCCTTGATTGTATATGAACAAGTACCAAAGGAAGGTCTGCGTTGTTCGTTTTAGAATTTCTGTGGTGGAGACTTGATATCATGTCAAGAGAGGAACAGATCACAGTTGCAGCCAATATCTCAATGACTCTGCTTATCATCCATTCAAGAAGTCAAGATATTTGATGGTACTAACACCACTATCCAAGAACATGACTCTACATGATCTTGCAGGAACTGCGGGCAGCTTCTTCGGGTGAGAATTTTGCCCAAGATAACCTAGTACATGTTCATCACTTGATAGTCCTTTGTAATTTTCGATCCAGCTTCATTCACCTTAGGCATATCCATGAACACTCATATTCTTGTTTCCTAGAAGTAGCAGATATATTCCTTCATTCTACCTGTAAACTTTATATACCCCCAGAGTCCTGGATTTGAGTGAATGCATCAAAAAAATGCATGAATATACTAGAGCTTTGATATGTCTGAGAAACCTAGATCTCTCAAACAGTCAATCCAGAAGCTCCCACATACGGATCTTGACATAAATGACTGACCCGCTCACCTGCTGCTTCAGGAAACTTCGCTTGCTTCCAAACTTTAGAAGTCAATTCTCTTACCTTTGAGGGGTGGATTGGGTATAAGGAGCCCGGGGAACATCAGAAGTAAGAGATATTCGATCCAAAGGCAAGAAACAAGTTGGGTTGTAGGGACTTCCAATGGGAAGTGGGAATAAAGAGCACAATTTGAAACTGACAAAGGCACCCACTTCATATGTGGTAATTCATAGAAAGTTAATAGTTCATTGAGAAGGTTACCGGTGGGCTGATGGCAAAGTCTTGGAAATAACTCTCGAATGCTTTAGCCACATTTTAAACTCAAAAAACTATGTATCAGAGCATATCCAGAATCAACTTTCCAGATTGGGGCTTTCTGAAACTGCTTCTGATCTACTATTAAAGCTTCTCAGAACACTTTGTATACAAGCGATGGATGGAGTTGCATATACTGGGGAAGAGTCCTATGATGGTGACACTCAAACCATTCACATCCATGGAACTCTAATAGTCAGGCTCTACCCTTACTTAGAAGAGAGGACTTGCACTTGACATATGAGCAGCATTCCATGCCTAAAATGCTGCCATCAGCAGTTATATCAAACTCATGAAATATTTATATCAAACTCCCCCAGTTTTTGAAGCTAATTTACAAAAGGTTAAGTATCAATTCCCAGAGAGTGCAAGACTAAAAGTAACTTTTATTTGGAAAACACAACACTGTCATCAGTAGTTAATGTAGCATCTATATAACCTAACTATGCGTGAGAGAAATAAAGCTGTGATAACCATAACATCCTCGGTGCGATGGATTAGGAATTTGCTGGTGAAAACTTGAGGGAAATACTATTGACACAATGGCGCTCATCTGTTGGAGTAGGGAACCCCTCACCCTTGAAAACATGACCAAGGTGGCCACCACAAGCTGCACAAGTAATCTCGATCCTCCTGCCATCGGGGTCAGCCTGAAAAGTATCCAAACATTAGACAGTGCCCAACATCAATTCTAGAAAAATTGCTTAGGACACATACAACATAAATACATTGAACAAGCAATCTCATGACTAAAAACATTCAAGAAAAATCAACGGGAATACCTTCTGTATTTCTGATGTTTTTCGAAAAATATGAATAGCATAAAATCANTCACCTTTGAAGGGAAGTGCTGGTTGCACCTCATCAACAACCGCTTGATTCCGTCTCACAATACTACAGAGGTAAATGGGCCCCGAGCTGCCTTGATTTGGTGCTTTGTAAATGGTTACGACTTCGATGTGGCCAAAGTGATGCATGATGAGATATTCGTCCGATGTCAAGTCAAAAGGTATGGATTCTTTTTCCCCTCTTTAGTGACTCAACTATGCAGGGATGCTCGGGTACCCGAAAATCTAGCTGTGGATGGGTTGGTAAAAAAGGAGGGCAAGTTCCCTGCTGATAAGGTGACCACGGTCAAGGAGCCGGAAGTAGTAGAGGCGACGGAGAGTAGTAGCTCTGATGATTCTGATGATGAGGAGGATGCTGAGGAGAACGTGGAGGCCGCACCACAGGCTCAGGAGCAAGGTGTAGCAGCTGCAGGACCATCTGGGACTACGCCATCTTCAGGAGTTGCCCGGGTGTCCCGTTTCACTGCTTTGGAGCAGGAGATGGCTGGTTTGCGCACATCCATGACTGATTTGGGCACCCGAGTAGACGCGGTAGCTGACCGACAAGTGATGTCGGAAAAGAAATTCATGGGATGATTGCAAGCTCTGGGTCATGTGTGCCACGTCAACCCAGTCACTGTCTCCGACCAGGAGTGACACTTCAGGGAAGTACCTTCACCTCATTGCTCTTTCTTATTTTAAGCCATGGGGACATGTCTTCATTTTCAAGTGTGGGGTGGGGGCACTTCATTGTATGTATGTATGTAGCTGTATCATGTGAATGTTATTTTTGTTTTGTTTTGTTTGACTCTGATAGTTTTGGTGTTAAGTAGGAATCGTTAGTTTAAAATAGATAAGTGGCTCGTCCCGATGACGGATCCCTTTCGGCGGGGTTCTTGAGGGACTAAGTCGAAAAAAAAAAATTTGAAAAAAATGTAGACTCTTCCTGATGACGGATCTGTTAGACAATTAGTTTGAGGGAAGTTAGTCTAGAGAAAACACCAAATAGATTTTTTTATTTTTTTAGGTAATGTAGCAACTCCCCCTTGGTTTTTCTTTGGGCCACGGTTCTTTTCCAAGAGTTTTAACTTGAACCGGGTATAGGTAGTTTTTTTTAATTTTGTTTTCTTTGTGATTTGTAGAGTAGATTAATGGGCTACGAGCTAGAAAATCAAGAGAGAACCCATAGCGTTGACACACCTGAACACAATAGACCCTAGAGTGTAACGCTTAGTCTTATTTGTTGAATTTCACTAAAGTGCCTTAATCTGTATGTTTGTTACTGAATTGAATGCTCGTAATGGAGCGTTTTGATGAGCTGATCTGGAATGAATCATATGCCATGTGTGGTGAGGTTTTTGTGTAGTCCATGTATTGTACTTGTGTCTAGAACTTGCCTGGTATGTGAGTTGAAGCAAAATTTTAGGTGATGCTCGATGTGAAAAATGATTTTAGGCTTTCTTTGATCTTTTTGAGCTTAATTGCTTACCACAAATAAAATTTATCCCTAGTCAACCCTTTTGAGCCTATAGACTTTTATTTGGTATCCACATTACAAGCCTATATCCTTTTTGTTCTTAATTGACATTGTTTGATCCTTTTACCTCTTAAAGCACTTTAATTGTGAGATGAGCGCTAAAATAGAGGTGAATAAATTGTTGACTTGTTCTTGCTAGTGGGGTATAAATTAAAGTGGTGCTTAAGGAAAGAGGGAACATTGTTGGGAATAATTTTAGTTGTGAAATTGAAGTTGGGATTGAAGAATGTGCGCTCAAAGTGATTATGTGATGTGTTAAAGTGCTTAGGAGGGTGAACCACTATTCCTAAATATGTCCTACCTATCCCTTAGCCCACATTACAACCATGAAAAAGTCCTAATTGATTTTAGATCGAGTGAGCCTACATTAGTAGAGATTTACATTAAGGGCAAGCTTATGGTACCTATTGCATGCATGTGACTTCTTTTGTGAGGGTGAGCGATTTCCCTTGATATATGTGAGCATAAGACTCAAATGTGCGGATTGATTTTATTCTCCTTACTGTGATTGTGAGGGCATGTGATTCGTGAAGGAAAGGCAAGTCTTGACTTCTGTGTAGAGTACTTTGA